TTTTTTAGGGACCAAATGTTTTGGCTCGAGATCATTACGCCATTAGACTAAAATGCTTGTAAGAGATCTATCTGAGATAATTTTTTCCCTTTTATGAATTCAATGATACCCGTTAAGTGTGTAGAGAAACATAGCGCCCCTGATTGTTCCCTGCACAAGTGTTTTCGATGATACACATAGCTTTATTTCGTTTTCGTGAATAGCGGGGATAAGAATTTAAGAAATGTTGTTTGATTAGCCGTTTTTCTTTTTTTTTTTTTATATATATATAAAAGCTACCCGAAATTTTGGCGTCTTTCATTTGTTATTTTCATAACAATATTTTATTCCTACATTCACAGCGACGAAGTACCATTTCCATACTTTGTGGATACGAATCGTGCATATTCTGGTGACAGTGGTAATTTTTGTTTCGAAAATACACGTCTGGTAGTTCAAAATAGTTTTCTGATTGGCTATTCCCTTCAAAATTATGGGTTATTAACTAATATCAGATGGAAAATGTCTTCGCATTAAAAAAACATGTTTCAGACTCTAAGGGTTTCTGAAATTTTCAAGTCAATATTCTGAAAAAAAGAAAGAAAGATCGATGATCTTTGAATGATGACAGTCCAGTAAGCACATCTTCACTGAATAAAAGTTGCCATCGGGAATTCTTAGAGCTTCATTAATGTTTCCTAACGAGCAATTCAGAAAAGTTCAAATGATTTTGTGGGCAAAGAAATTAACAGATGTACGGTTGGGTCTTCAGGTTTCATGTTGGGAATCAACAAGGTGTTTTCATATTTGATGTTTATCTCGTGGAAAGTTACATCAACATTTTTCGTGAAATACCATGATTTCCCTAGAAAGTTCTTTTGAAGTTTCGAAGGCGTAACGATGAAAATGTCCCCTGGGAGATTTGATACTTTAATAGGCTCACTGTAGTTGTTTTTCAACTTCAGGGTTACAACATCAGATCCAACTCGCTCCTTTTTGCCGTCCCAAGTGTAAGGGTTGAAAGAGAATGAAAGCATCTACAAGAATAATATTTTAGCTTTGATTGTTTGTCTGTTTGAGAGACTTGATGCTGTTTTCAACTCAGTTTTAAAATATATTTAAGGCGATATTAGGAAAATCTTTTTGTTGTACTAAGTATTAGAGTTGAACAAGTCAAAAGCAAAATAAGTACTAGAATTGCTTCTGGTTGTCAGCAGTCTTCAAGGTACCTGGTGTACTACTTCACTACTTTAACTTGTCTGGTGTCGGTATCTGCTGACAAATACTTTCCTGATTTTGCCACAAATACATTGCATTTTCCTTTAGTACATGAATACCTACCTAAGCGTCTACAAAACTTGTTTTATTCACTCTGGAGACTATCAGTTGGCTTTCAGATGGTAACAAAAACCGTCCATTTCCTGCTTTTATTTCCAGTCCTGAAAGTCTCTGGGGGCTATATCTTCCAAGTGTCATGGAAAATTGCCTTGCTGTGATCGATATTGCTTTTTCATCAGGGGCAATTAAGGCCAACACTGAGTCTGAAACGTTTTCGAGGACCTTCATGGAAATCTTTACCAACATCTTACCCTGTAGAAATGACATAAATAAACATAGAATATAGGCAAATTATGAGTCGTGAAAGGTTTGAAACAAAAGGGTCCGAAATATGAATGAAGAAGAAAGTGACGGTGAAGTTAACAGTAATCTGCGGTAGGCCACTCACCAATGATTTTAAAAGTAATGACCGCAAGGTGGAAAGAAAGAAAAGAGGGATTTGCTCGCATACAAGGATACGTTAAAAAAGTGTTTTTTGGTAGACCTCTCGACACCACCTAAATGTACATTACAATACCTGTTCTTAAAAACTTGATTCTGAATCATCTGAAGCAATCACTGCTGCTGCCTTCAGCATGCTATTTAAACATGAAGCCAAGTTTTCTGGTGACTGAGTTGTCAGCTGTGTGTCTGCTATGTCTCTTTTCTGGGCAAGAGACCATAGAAGGGACGTCATTGAACGGATTGCAGTTAAAGAGATATTGTGTGGAATGCAAATTAATTTGAGCAGCTGAAGTTGGTTATTCAGTTTTGTTTTCATTGACCTTTTAAGAGATATTCTGCGAGGAACTAATTAATGTAAGTTCAAAACCATAAACCACTAAGCATGTGTTGCCTTTTTCGTGTTTTTGTTTTCATTTTGTTTAATCGTTGTTGTTGTTGTTGCTTCTGGGTTTTGAGTCCGTCTGGCCTATAAAATGTCATAGCATGATAAGTCGACATAACGACCAAAGTTATTCAAACATTAGTATATTGTATATGTCATTTTCTCATTTGTGTCGCATTCAAAGAAATACAATGTAACTTACCAGTGAATCGTGGGGCACTTTATCCAAAACCTGAAGAGCAGAACCGATAACTGATGAGCTTTAAAGTAGGTCCGCAACACTTTATCGTTCGAAAGGAAAAATTTTTACAAGGATGTTGTGCATCACCTTGAAAGTGATAAACATGAAAAACTAAAAGGTCTATTTTAAGCTGGAAAGAATTAAGCAAATAGACTATATCTCACACACGAGGCTCATTCGAAAGGAAATCTTTCTAAAGGTATATTTAGACTCAGGTCTCCGGATGATATTGCCACTAACAACCATCAAAAAGATACATTCGCATGCACCTGATTGGTCCTAACACATCGGAAGTTCAAATACAGGTCCAAGCTGAGACTAAGGGGTGTGTGTGGGCGATTTACGCTAATGGAACATTTTTCAAAGTCATTTTTAAGACGTTGAAAATACTCGTTTCAAATTGAGTTTAAGGCTGTAGAGCGTTCTCCATTCTATTCATAATAAGCCCAATTGGAACTTTTTGACGCAAAAACAATAGGAAGAAGAAATAAAACATGTAAGTCCTGATTCTTGAGCATTAAAGATCTCAGATATTGAACATGTAAGCCTTTGATTTGCTCAAAAACAAAAATGCTAATACACTTAATGTAATACACTTGTTTGTTATTGGAGTGTTGATGTTTTGATTTTTGATTTCCAATAGAATTTTGTTTTGTTTTTCTCCACGGAAACTCTTTGTTTCTTGGGTTTTAACATCACGATTAATTCCATTTGTTTCATTATTTAAGTATGCATTAGGCGTTCAAAAGTACCGTGCATCTCTTCTGCAAATCCATTGAGGTTTCTTGTAAAACTGATTGTAAGACAGAGTCCGCAAGTAGCGCCGCTAGTCATGAATTCATTGAATGAACTGTCATTTGCCATGAGAAGGTTTGAGATATTAAGAAATGGCTTAATCTGAAAAAGATTCAAAAGCAGGTATCGACTTGGTTACATGCTTAAAGAAAATTTGACAACATATTTTGTTTTATAAACTAAGTTGAGAATGTAACTTGACCACCGTAAAACGTTTTCGGAAAAGCTTTTCTTTGACACCCCAACCAACGTACCACTACAGTTTCTTTAAATCCTCACTCCCTTTAAAAAGAGCTTCTTAATCTAAACTAATAGAGACCAAAAGGAATTAAGGTGCTACCACTTCATCTCATGCTAGAAATTAAATCAACAGTTATCGACCTACCTGGACTGTCAAAGGGAATGAGGAAGCAGAAATTCCAAAACTGTCAGTCACTGTAACGTTGAACTTCACAGTAAAGTTATCTGCCTTATTCCCAGGGGGTATCCGAAAGCCACTTATGGTGTTGTTAGCACCACGATAAAAAACGCTGTACAGACCGTTCTGTAGCCTGTTCTGAAACTCGTAGGACAGAGGGGTGCTGTCACTTTCCCAATTGCTACAGCTCAAATTCAAATAAGTCTCCAGTGAGATACCGATTGGCGGAGTGATCGAGCATTTTCTTCGTGTTGGGGCTAACATCGCCAGAAATCGAGGACATTTTGCTCCTGCATTCATTGGTCAGTGGATTGCAGTCGGATGAAAACAAAGATGGCTTTTTCTTTTACGAAAGTTTGTGAAACATTGGAATTATTCAACTCTGTGCACATAAAGTAATTTGCAGCCAAAAAGACAAGAACTAGAACCTTGTAAATGTACTTACTGCAAAATAATATTGCGTTAGTGTTACGATGTAGTATAGTTATTTAATAAATCCCTTTGAAAAAAAATCCTTATGTTTTAATTGTCTATGAGTATGACTACACGCATTCTGCTCCTATGCTTCTCCACGAAGAATTTTGTTTCAGACGTCCACTCTGCGTGCAACATTTTCAAGAGGCAGTTTCAGGTACCACTAAGCGGTTCAAGCAGAAAACATGTCGAACAAACTTGGCTCAGCGTAGTTGACAACAAAGAATTTGCACTATTCACCGCGCTCCTTAATATCAACTTATGTCAACAACAATCACCAGCGCTACTCTAATGACTTGTTCAATAACATTATAATACTGACTAACGGGTCGAATCAGGACGACCAGATTTTACTGACATTACGGTACTATATGGCTGAACTAAGCAACTGAGGAGAGGGGCATATTATACTGCTATTCATAAAACGACTGCAATTCAACTGCCCAAGCACTGCCGACATCTCTTGGATTAACTTGCGAACTTTTCTTTGCAGGGCGTTCATTGTCTGCAGATGGAAGAATTGTGTTCATCTTTCTTTTCAAACGCTCTCTAATCTGTAAATAAACACGCGACGAAATATGAATCACCAAGCACTCAAATCTTTGTTAATATCTAGAAACTTCGAAATTTGCTTTAGGTGTATCTTTAGATTGATTTCCATCTTACCCGGCTGTCTCGCACACAGTGAAAGACGAAAATCAGGAAACCCTAAAACAGAAAATTGTATCAAGATCTGATTTTGCATCAAGATTTCATTCTGTTTAATTCAGTAAATAAATCTTAAAAAAAAACTCAAGGCATGTCCCAAATCTCACGAAAGAAGTAAGAAATTCTCTCAATTTGAATAAATTATTTTTCAGATCGGAAATGTCGCCTGACCAATACGAGAATGTGGCAGTAGTTTTAGTATTGAAGTGTACGTACGAATTATTAAATATTCGAGGTTTTTCTTTAAAGCTTACCTGAGTAGAGTTGAAGATGGTGAAAATGTAGGCAAAAGCTTTGTGCAATGGTAACAAAAAACCAAATACCCACGTGATACCCAGCAGTGGAATCATCACCACGCATGTCTTAATGCAAAGTCTGAAGAAAGATAAGGGTATATAATTTGTGGATTAAAAACACGTTCGTTTCCTTCTAAATTAAATTTTAGGTGGAAATTGTTTTAGATCATCTAGAGGAGAGTTTAGGAAAACGCCTCAGAACTAGATTATAATAACGATAATAATAATGATAACAATAATAATAAGAATAATTTACACTTATATAGCGCACTG